GACCAAAGAGTTTCTATATTTTTCCTATTTAAAACTTGACTCTTCTGTAGTTACATCATGTACTAAGACCGACGGAAAATGAAAAGTTGCGCAATGATATTACGCAGCGCCTGAAAATAGTCATTTTTGAGCGAGATGCTAACGGTCTAATCAGATTAAATGATCTATGCTAAGCTGCAGCTAAAAGTGCTACCGCCAGACCCGGAGATCGGCTGAATGGATTCGAAAACGGTAAAACTCAACTGTTTAACTCTAGGGGAGTTGGAAAATGAGCCTATTTTCAAAAATAGTGGTGTGTTCCTTTAACCAAGTTCTGCTATACCATTTATCCCGCAGTAGATATCCAGTATTCGAGTGGCCAGAACTGATTTACATTATTTACAAATGAGAAAGGCTAAGAAACATGAAGTAATGTGAAAATAATGATGTGCAAATACACAACAAATTAAATAAATTACCATTATTAAAATAAATATAACCATTAAAAAGTTTATATAATGATAAGCATCATTTATTTCTAGCCGAAAAATCCTTGTGATCTGTAGTTACCGTGATATACACTACTGTTCTTTTTAAAAAGAAGCATCTATGAAAAATACAGTAAAAAAAATAATATTTTGAAGTATTATTACCATTTAAAACAACCGTTCTCTATTTGAATGTTTTAAAATGTAATTCATTCCTGAAATTTCAGCATCATTACTCTGGTCTTCAGTGTCACATGATCCTTCATTAATTAAAAAAAAACAAAGTACTGACTCTAAACATTTGAATGGTAGAGTAGAATTACCTACACCGTGATATTTGTTTGTTCTTCCCACCTCTACTTTAAAATAACAATGAAGCCCTATCACACACACACACAAACGAGCCTGAATAGCACCCGCGTGTCGCTGCAGGATAACAGGCTGTCATCAGCGATTAAGCCGGTGCGAGCACGCACTGTTAGTCCCTCTCAGGGCCGAGCAGGGCAGGGTCATGTATTTGCGCTCTTTATTTACGGCTTGTGTCGCTGTGTATCAGTCGTTTCAAAATGAAATCACACAGACGCTCAGTGACAGACAGGGTGTAATGGCAATAACAACACACACACTGCAGACCATATCAAATGTTATCTGTAATGAAGTAAGTGCCGTGTGAAGACTGTTGCCCTGAACAGCAGCTTCCTGAGGCCCATAATGCTCTCTGATTACCTGAGTGGAAGCCCAGATCTCTTGACTACACCTTGGAGCATTCGACTCTCAACCCAAACATATTTTACTCCAGACAGCCAGAGAAAGTGTAATATCTAGGCACTGACGCCGGGTGCTTAGCTTATTCTCATTGGGCTATTTGTCATTTAGCAGACGCTTATATCTGACGCAAATTACAGTACATTTGCTACAGCCACCTGTGGGTAAGTATCAAGGCACAATGGTGAAGCTAAAACATTTAGATTACATCCCAGAAAATTAACCGCTACACCATCACCACAGGACGTCACTCCAATGAATGTCATACTATTAAACATAATGAGATGTAAAAAAAATATTTTAGTTTATTTTATATTTATTTATATTTTATTTTATTCAATTTTTAAATATAATATAATAAACTAATAAAATAAAATGCCAAATGCATAAATGCACATATCCCACATGTTGCATTGCTCAGCATTGCCACAATAGAATTGTTTTCTATGGTCAGTTTTCACTTTCAGGTCAACTACTGTAATGGTTGAGTTTGATGAAAATCTTACAAGTTGAAAACATGTCAACATGTTTGTTGACACATATACAACATGCTTTGGCAAAGCGTTAATGTCTGCTTCCATAGGGTATGTTCCCTGGCCAAAAAGGCAGTGGGAAATCTCCTTAGACGTCCCACTGAGGACACGGACTGATGTGAAAAGTGTAAGATCAGGGCCTGTGTGTATAAAGCACCTAAGGCGAGGATTACTCTCGTAGGAACTATTCTCTGTCAATATAACTGCTTTTGTTAAAGCATAACAGGCAAACGACTGATCCCCTGGATTTTTAGTCTTGCTGTGAGATACAAATGACTTTATAGTACATCTCTTTACTAAAAATACCATAGTGAGAATCGAAGAAGTGCAAAGAAACATCTATTTTAACTGAAATTGTTCTTCAACAACTTTAATTTCCTATGTCAGGTATAATGAATGACGATTTGGTATTTTTAATACTGAATGACCGTTGCTATTGTCAGTCATGGAAAGCAACAACAGCAATATATTCACTCCTGCAAGGCTGACCTACAAAATCCCGGGCCTGACTGTGGAAGATGGAATGAAGTTATCAAATTAAATGTCACAAGTTCATTAAAGCACTTAAATTGGTCTGCAAGAATGATTGCTCCCTCTAGTAACAAGAACATTTATGTTTTATGTAAAATCAATCAATCAGTTTTATATTTAATTCGCTAAATTTTATGTTTAATTGCACCAATCTTTTTTTCCCCCTCCAGTTTAAGAGATGCAGGTCCAGGACTATTCTGGACAAACCTAAAGAGTGTACAGTCATGAGTCTAGATTTCTACAGATATCCGTTTCCTCACTTGGCACACCCATTCTCCTCTCCTCTCATTTCTTCATCCTTCACTATCATCTCATCATGTCTCAGCATCCATCTCTCATTTCTTCCTTCACTGCTCTCCAGGCCTGATGAGGAGATATGCAGGGCTGGCCGGGAGACAGCAGCCAATGTGACTGGGAGCTATTTGAAATGGCCAATCACATTCGAGGTGATTAACATCAGCCAATCGAGTCAGGAAAGACTAAATGCCTTCAGGAAGTCATTGTGAGTCAGAAGAGCATCAGTGAACACAGCACTGTCTATGTGTGTTTCTGACACCCACTACTAATTAATGGGTTTGGCCAGACTGCTAATTCAAGTGAAGACAAATCTTAATTGCACACCATACAATGGCATTCAAGAGAACAGTTTGGTGTTTTCTCCTCAGGATGACAATGCCCATGTGCACAAAGTGTATACTATCTATTGTATACTATACTATCTACTCAAGAATAGCTATAACTGACTTTTGAATGGTCTTTTTTATCTACAATATACATTCAATGTATATTCAGACACATTCTGGTCTAACTCTGTATAACTCTGAACGGATGACCAATTTTCAGAGACCAACTAGTCTTCCCTTATGTAATTGACCCAGTAGTATATTTACATTTCCGAGTCTCTATTTACACTAAGTGCAAATAACCTAGCCTTGTTGGCATAGGCTATTTACACTAACTCTGCCCACCAACGTGTGATTGGGCTAGTCAACACTACAAAGGACATCAGTCAAATGTAGGAGGTAAAGCACATATCGCAGTCTTTTGGATACGATCAACCCAGGTTCGAACCCGCCTTTTGCCGAACTTTTTTCCCTGCCTTTTCAAATCTCATATCACATCGGAAAGGCATTTATTTTCAATAAAATTAAGAAAATAATCCAAAAGTTGAAAATAAAGTATCAGGTAGGGTTGGGGTAGGTGTAGGGAGAGTTTTATTTTCCCAATAAGGTTTCCCACTCAATACGTTATTGTTGTGTACTGTTTTATAATGTACTACAATACTGAGGTGCAGATAATTGCCACTATTTGCATTAAGTAGTAGTTATAAATAGCAGAAAATCCTGCTATTTTAACAATGTAAATAGAATCTATAGCTATTTGCACTTAAGAGTAAATAGCATATCGCTAAAAATACTGCTATTTTCACTTAGTGTAAATAGAATCCATTGCTATTTGCACTTAGTGTCAATAGCATCTATCGCTAAAAAAAATATGCTATTTTCACTTAGTGTAAATAGCATCTAATTGCTATTTACACTTACTGTAAATAGCATCTATTGCAAATAGATCTAGTGCAAATAGTCGCTGCCTTTACATTTCTATTCTTAGTGAAAACAGAAAAGTGCCAAAAAAGTAACTAAAAGTGCAAAATAAGTGGCCCAAACCAAGACAGATAGCTAAGATTCACATGCTATGCTAAGGCCTCAAGAACCACAGACAACTTTTCTTTTAACTTTTTTTAACATACATCACCAAGTGATGCTTCTGTACACATCATCATCAGTGATGTTTCCTGGGGTCATCGGGTGTTTCGGGTCTATCAACAATCAGACGCCCTCGCCCAGGCGACCCAGGTTGACCAGGTTGATCAAGCCCCGACTTGTGTCCAGGTAGCACTACCCTGCCCATGGCTCTCCTCTCTTGATCCAGAGCCACCTTGAAGCAGCCTCCGCTGTTTAATTATTATTAATTATTATTTAATTATATTTATGTCTGTTGATTCATTTTTTTAAAACAATTTTCAAACAAGTTTTTAATCTGGCAGAAAACTGTTGATCTTAAAGCTTCTATTTAAGATCAAACAATATATAAACAAAAGCATTTTGCAATTCAAAATGAACATAAGTACATTGTACCTAACATTTATATTTTCTGGAAATAAGTACATCGTAGTTAAAGACACCTAATATAAAGTAGGACCATCTAATCTTTGATTACTCCTAAAACAAGACAATGGTTACAAAATTAAACTAATAGTGAACTCAACAATATTCACTGTAGAATAATAAGATTAAAAAAAAGGAATGTTAGCCCTAAAATATACACTTTTGTGGCTCAATCACAGTGTAAAGGAATCTAGGAGTCTAGGTCCAAACAAGAAAAATGAACTTGGATAGATCATGAAGTCTCCATCATTAGGTGACTTTAAAAGACTTAAGTGGCCTGGCCTTGATGATTAAGGCTATAAAAGAGGAACAGTGTCGTCATTTAATTATGAAACTGTTTCCCCTCCAATGAGTCAAGTCTTTTCCAGCACCTGTGAGTGGAGACCAATCAATCAATCAAATCAATGCGGCCCAGACAATCAGCGCTATCGCACACAGGAAGCAGGAAATGCTGCGGTCAGATTCATCTGTGTAAAACATATCCAGTCTGAGACAGGCATCGGCCCCCTCAGGCGCATTAGTCTGATGAATAGAGCTGTCTGCATAGCACAACAGCAATCTAGTCCGGAGACAAATGGTTTTTGACCTCTGCCAACATCCACGGATTCAGAACTCACAGGAAAGCCTCAGAGGCCATGTTTATTGGTTTACCATAACATGCTAACAGCACTCAAAAAGAAAGGGAAGTTGAATAATTCCTGTGTCATCCTGGCTCTTAACTAAAGCCAGGGCTGCGTTCAGCCCCGACAAAACTGTGCAAAGCGTTTTTTAAATGGAAACGGTGGTGCGTTGAACACCCTGTTCTGATGACGCAAGAGTTGCAACTATGGCAGCTGAGAAGGCCATTCTTTGTTTTCTTTTTGAAGAATTTTCGGAGCCTGATGAAATCGGTATAAATACACATTTAAAACTGCAAAATACGCTCGATGTTACAGTCACTGCCGTTGTCGTTCAGAATAAAAGAAAACATCCCAATCAAATGAAGGGATTTGTGGAAACTGTGGTTCCTACATTTACATTAAAATTCCTGAAAAATGTGACACACCCACCAAACAAGAGAAAACGTATCTCAAACCATGTTGCACACCGTTTCCAGGAAACATGTCGTTCAAACCGGAATCCGTAGCAAAACGTTGCGCACCGGTTTGAGCTTGAACTTGCCCCAGGTGTACACAGTGTGATTTTTGCCATGTGAGACAATTTGTTAAACAATGTGGTTACAACGTACAATAAGGTTAATGTTCATTTAAAAATATACTACTGTCCACTGTTAATTCATGTTTATTCATAATACATTAAATGTTACTAAATTGGTAAATAAATTCATATAAATTATTTGTTACTCACATTGTTTAAAAAAATACAATAAATACAAATAAAAAGTACAAAATAAATGTGTGAGTAAGTAATAATTAGTGATTGGTTATTCATTGTTGATGAATTAAAAAATTCTAAAATACACCAAGGCTGCATTTATTTGATCAAAAATACACTAAAAACAGTAATATTGTGAAATTTACAGTTTAAAAAAACTGTTTTCTATTTTAATATATTTAAAAATGTAATTCATTCCTGTGATGGCAAAGCTGACTTTTCAGTCTTCAGTGTTACATGATCCTTCAGAAATCATTCTAATATGCTGGTTTACTGCTCAAGAAACATTTCTTATTTTATAAATGTTGAAAACTGTTGTTCTGCTTAATATGATCCTTTTTTTTGTGGAAAGAAAGTTCAAAAGAACAGTACTTATTTGAAATAGAAAAATTTCTTTAACAATGTAAATGTCTTTATTGTCACTTTTCATCAATTTAATGCATCTTTGGTGAATAAAACTATTAATTTCTTTTAAAAATGTGCATATCATATGGACAAACTGAACATTATGCAACATTAATATCATGTTAATTAGATGGTGCCCAGTCTACCTTGGCTTTTACTCAAGATCTCACCAGATTATATTCTACAATCAGACAAGCAAGTCTTTATGAACATGGGAAATGGGCTTTAATTAAAACACTCAGACTGAGATTTTTAAACTTCCAGGACTCCTTACTTCCACACCAGCGCCACTTAATTCCCAGAATAACTCAGCAGAAAGAACAAAAGGGAAGACGGTAATCCGAAGTGACATATCCCACCTCCATTTGGGAAAAACTGGGTGACTTGATCAAGGATCTCATATCAAAAGCTGTGATAAACTCGTTAAAAGTTAACGATTTAGGGACGAGCTAAGCTGAACCTCCCTATCAATATTTTATCGGCCTGTCTTGCTGAATCAAGCTCTTTAATCACAAAGAGGAGGTGGGGATCTTTCTTGCCAAAAGTGCATTCACAAATTTGCAGTTGGCAGCAAGACTTGAGCAGACACAATCACTCAGCTTGCGCTCCTTGGCTTCAAGAACCCCCTGTTTTGCAGCGATTAAATTCAAGACTTGATTTCATGGTGACCTCAACATCTATTTTTCACTGTACAAAGTAATTTTTTTCCGTTATCTCCAGTGTATATTTACTTCATTGCTTTCTGCCTTTCAGTCGGCCTCACTGAATCACATTTTGTGAAGCTGTGCTACCCTATAAACAGTCTTTTAGACAGGCTGTTACTCCAGTATAACTGTATATGAGGTTACGCAGCAAAAACAGCCACTTGACGGTACAGACGACGGGGTGAAACAGCATAGGGCCCTATGATTTCATAGACGGAATCACAGAATCCAGTTATAAAAATCAAGCGTAGCGTTAGTTCTGGCAGGTCACGTTAGTCAAGCTCGCATCAGCTGACTCTCAGCTGATCCCCATCTACCTATGGGAATACGACACCTATCTAAGCATTCATATATAAGGTCCCTCAGTATTAGCAGCAGTTTTCGCATTGCTAAATATCTAATTACCCTCCTCCATCCCCAGCTCCTCCTCTGTCAGGATTCAGCCTTCTGATTATCCTTTGAATCAGACTAATTCTAAAATGGGGGGGTGGTATCGCTGCTCTCTTGTCCAGTTCTTGCCCAGAACAGAACCATAGCGCCAATCCAAACTGTATGCTAATTGTCAATCATCTTTGACGATAGTGGTCCTGACAGAAATGGAATTTACAGCATATTGCGGAATGTCATGGAATTTGGTCAATTTTGGATGAATATATCTCAAGTAGGACTGTACAATGAATCAAATCTCGATACTGACTAGCTTCTGTGAATATTAACCCGCAAAAGATTTCTGTGAATGTTTAAAACGGGGTGTAACCAAAAAAGTTTGAGAACCACTGCTTATATGAGGACATGAACACATGAACTTCATCTCTAGAACTGCTCTAAGTGTCACTTCATTTAATTTCACCATTAGCTAAAAACTATCATCACATTCACACAGAAACTCAAAGGTCTTCATGACAACCCGTCAAAATTAAAGTTTGGTTTAACTTGAAGAAATTGTGACAGAAATATATTGCTATAATATAATACAATGCACTTCTCAAACCAATATTAATAATAAAACTATTTATTTATTTTTTAAGGAATGTCACAAATTTTTTAATCCAGAAAAAAACAAACTAGAGTTTCTGTAACAATAAAACATTTCATATGACTGTATTATTGTACAAATTTTAATGAACTATTAAGTTGTTAAAATTTTATGAATTTAATTGATTAAATATGCTTTTTGTTTATTCAAATTTAATAAACCTCTGAAACAGAATATAGAAAATTATAATAGAAAAAAAATTTGAATTTTGACTTTATAGGGCCCTTTTAGTAAATGGTTGTTAAATTGTACAAGATTTAAATTATTAGCCATGTCTAATTAAAGTGCCCCTATTATGGGTAATGAAAGGTTCATATTTAGTTTTTTTGAGTCCCCAATAATAGGTTGACATGCATGCAAGGTCAAAAAACACTTTCATTGTCTTATGCGGCACCTAGTGGCAAAGAATTACTTTGCATTTTCATTCAGACCAATGTGAAAAGACCAACAACTGGGTGGGCAATATGCTAATGTTTCATGTTGACGTCAACATGAAACGGCTTGGGATTCGTTTAAAAAACGACTCGTTTCAATGATTCAGAGTCAACTCTTTCTTTTGAGAGACAATAACTTTATACACGGTGCACTTTCAGATTTAAAACTTTGCAGGATGTTTTCATTCACTT